ATTTACTCCCCTTTTTAATGCCACCGCTTCGACCGACAACAGAGGCAGGCGGCGGCCGGATGTTTTTTTTTTTTTTTTTTTTTTTTTTTTTTTACAGGAATCCTCTGGAGCATATAGGCAGATTTATTTATTTATTTTTTAAAAATTAGAAAAAAAATATTTGTAAAATATCTAGAGCAGTGTAGCTGGGGCTTTGAGGAAGCTAAGAGACAGAGGAGAAAACAACTCAGAGGAGATCATTAAGCACAGGACTAACAGACGGACATCGGGACATCAAGGATGACTTGAATCAATTTTAATGACACGCAATAAAAAATAAGCACTTGCATGTTAATAAAAATCCGCATCGCAGATGTGGATCTCAGATTGGCTGGTTCAAATTTTTCCAAGTGAAGCACTTCTCAAGACATCCCATCAGCCCCGGAGGTGCTACTCTAAACCTGACGCTGCCGTCGGATATGGAGTAACTTCAAAATACAGAACAGAAAAAAAAAACATTCGCAAGCAACACATGTAAATGCACAGACCTGCTTCCCACCCATGGACTCAAACATCTTCTCCAGCTGGACTCGAAGTTGCTGGATGTTGTTGAGAATTATGCACGGCTGCAAAACAGTCAAAATGAAAGTGATTAGATTTTTCTTTCATGTTTAATGCCACTCCGCCGTCCAGCTGTTGACAGCTGTTGTGATTGTATTGTTATAGTCTGAGAGCCCATGATAAGCCAATATAACTGGAAACACAATAATAATGATAATTTAACAAAAAAAAAAAGTGTCAAAAGAAAAATGATAGGGGCAACCACCGTGAAATCCATCAGCGTTCACGTCGTGACACATCATCTATACAAAGAAGTAAAGTCTGTGCTCAAAAAGTCAGTAGGGAAATGCAATACATAACACAACGAGGAGAGAAATGTCTGCACTGAATGTGTCAGACGTTATCGATTTCTCTGCTCCACAACAAGTTTAACAGATGACAGGCATTAATCACGCCACTTTTTACAGACACCCAGAATAAATCTGGAGACTCTCGGCTACTCGTATGTTATGCGAGTCGCCTGCTCACGAGAAAACACAACAGAAGGCGATACGAAATGTCTTAATTAATATTTCAGTAATGAATACTACTAATACTATAATCCTTGGCCCCACAGGAAAAGGATGATTGGTGTCTTTCAAACCCCCCCCAAAGCAGCCAACAGTGTCTCTGCTGCTGATGGATTACTGTCCGTTAGATTTATGATCGTATACCTGTGTGGAAGTGATTCGATATTCTAAACCTAAGTAAGACTTTGGAGCAGGACTTTAGCATAATTCAAGTGATCTAAAAGCAAACCTGACATCTGTATTTTCTTTTTGGACAGAGAAATGATTCCAGTGCTAGATAATGTCGACGTTCACATACAGATATCAAAATCTGTATTGGTCCTGATATTGAAAAAAAAATTCTAGCTTGGCTGTCGGTGGCAATGTGCCCAATCCAAAAGGACAGATCTACTCTTACAATAAACTATTTTCTTGGAAGTTTCAGTTTCTTTATTATTTATTTTGCACTAGCTTATTTGCTCCCAATGAATTAAAGTTGTGTTGTTTTTACATGTTTGATCAAGCTTGTGAAACTATTGGTGTATTTAAGTGTAGATTTATATCTAGTTTTAAAAAGAAGCATTTCGAGTCATTTCAGCACAGTTTTTCTGTATCAGATCGGTATCGGCCGATACTAAACCTCAGATATAGATATCGGTATCGGAACTGGAAAAAAGTGGATCGGTGCATCTCTGGTGCACAGAGTGATTATTTTAACTTCTGGGTCGTAAACAAGAACAAGCAGACAATGCACAAAAATACATTACAGATCATGCAATGCTTCGCAAAAACATTCAGAACTTAAAGATTTGCAAAAACCACAAATTAGAATTTATTTTTCTTAGAAGTTTCTTATAAACCAACACAAATCAGGGGTATGTCTCTAACACTTTTCCGTGCTGAAAGACTGAAATGTCTGTCCATCTTTTGCAAAGCAAATCAAGGTCAGTCAAATTGGACAGAAAGTGTCTGTGGAGATATATTTTAAAGTCTTGTCATTATTTCTGAAAGGTATTTAAATTTGACAAGGTAGTTTCACAACATAATATGCATTTATTTCAATCCCTTCACTTGGGTCTGCACTTTTTGACAGAATTGTTCCATTTGAGTTGAAAAGCTCCCCTTGAATTACTACTGACCTCTAATTTTTTTTTTTTTTTTTTTTTTTTTGGTTCGTTAGAAGTCGTGCCCTCTTTATTTTTTAGTTTGATGAGAGATTTTAAAGAGATTTCCAAATATCGGAATATTTGTAATCAAACCCTGATTTAAGTTTCTCCACAACTTTTTCTATTAAATCTCAAAGTCTGCCACAAAACAGCAGCATTTTTATTGAGCTTAAATTACACAAAGATGGACTCAGTTTACTCATTATATGAGGCCTGGAGGACAGAAAGTTGCGCTGGATTTAAAACATAGCTAAACATCGCTATACTTTTAGCAATGTATAGCTAAAAGCATAGTTGAACATCGCTATGTTTAGCTAAACATGGCTACGTTGTCAGCTATGTTTAGCTAAAAACATAGCTAAAAATAGCTCAACATTGCTGTGTTTAGCTATTTTGTATTAAAAGTAGCTAAAAAAACATTACAATTTTCAAAAAGGTCATTAGGCCTTCAGAAACATGTATTTTTTCCTTCTGCTTCACAGTTACATGCTCCTTTGGCACTGAAAATCCTTCTGAAACACGCTGAAGTTTATGATTATTAAGTGACAAAACGCGTGAGTGAATACCTTTCCCTGGCCCCGCGGCGGGGCTAATTGGATACAAACACATCTCAGTTCCTTTATTTTTCCCGTCATCTGTCACTGTAGTCCTGTCAAGGGAAGACACGCCTTACTTTCTTCTCTGGGACAGTCGTAATGAGACCATCAGCACTGTAACGAAACATCTGCTCCCTCACTGCCTGTTATCTCTCCTTTCAGCTTCAAAATCCAATGTGAATAATTAGGCCACTCACAAAGCTGTGTGTTTAGCCATCCGTCACTTTAAACAATAGGCCGAGAAAATACCAATGACTCGTCCTCGTCAGCCACGGGCGAGAAATGAGTTGTTTCATTCGCGTTAATAGAGACGATGTTAACGGCTTTAGGGGAGATACTGCAAAGCTCTGCACAAAGAGTCATACTTAAAAACACTTTTATAGTCTCCATGCCAACCAATACTGGACACTGAATATGGAAAACTATTTTTTCTCGTGTGTGTGTGTGTGTGTGTGTGTGTGTGTGTGTGTTACCAGATTTGCACTCGACATCCCCCAAAAATAACTTCGGTGCAACTTTGCTGCTTGTATTCGGCAGGGAATGAGAATGCACTCACCACGTTCTCCTTGTTTAAATGCAATGGAAACTCCTTGGAAATGATTGCAGCATATTGCAAGAGAACCTTGTTGATAGTCTGCAGGAGTAGAAAGGATATTATAATTACTGTTTGTTTGCTCGGCTGTTACTAGGTCAGCAAACGCAGTCTATTACGCCGCTCATATTAAACACAAGACGTACGCGAAACAAATCCGCCCGGCTTAATGACAAACACCTCAACTGGAAGGTTTCAGCGGCAGAACGGGAAGCGTGCGAGGAAAACTGACCTTCGCAAAACGGCACATGAAATGCGCCAGAGCCTGCGGGTTCGGGCATTCCAGCTTTTTGATAATCTCAAAGCTCTGGTTTAGTTGAGTGAACACGTCCACCACGGAGCAGGAAAAGAGGGCGTGCTCCGAGGTCTGCTGGAACTGAAGCAGAGGGGGGGGAGAAGGGGCCAGAGTTCAGACAGAGAGAGAACACAAGGCAAACGATTCAGGAGAGATTGAGTAAAAGCTGGTGTGAGCTAATAATGTGACTGAAATTCTGAGTGTATGTGAATTGAAATACTAAAGTAGACAACATGTGCGCTACATGAATAAGTCAGAAAATCAACAAAGACATTACACGTTGAGGTTTTTGGGGATGGCAGCTCTGGACCTCGTCCTCCTGAAACGGGTGGATGTGTTTCAAAAGAAAATCCACTGGTGATCGAAATCGGACGACTGTCCAATTCGCCCTCTCTGATTAGTCATCGGAACACCGGAAATCGTACAGTTTTCCTAACTTTAAACTCACAACGTGTGTAAGCTCTACCAGAGAACAGCAAACATTAGAATGGAAACTGACTGAAATAAGACTTTTCAGTATCGCCAAGGTGCTTAAAAAGGAATTAGAGGCGCAGAGAGATGTATTTTTGTTATGGAGGCGTATTTAGAGCACATCAGTAGATCAAAGTCTTTATAGTTAGACACCAGTGGATGAGAGGAAGCTTAAGCTATCCCAGTGAAGTTGCCCTGTTTTACCCGTCCAATTCCATCTGCAGAGGGACTTGTTGTGAATGCTTGAAGTCTTGGAGGTCTTACGGTTCATGGAAGGGTCTATGAATGCATCGCTGCTGTGCTACTCACTCAAAAAAAACAAACAAACACTGAAAACAGTTTACTAAGCCAACTCTGTAATTGTTTTTCTTTGTTCTGAAATATCAGTGAAATATTGTTGAAGTGCAGCTGTGTAACGTTGACTGCTCTCTCTCTCTCTCTCTCTCTCTCTCTCTCTCTCTCTCTCCCTCTCTCTCTCTCTCTCAGACACAATGTCACCTCCGGTCCCAGTTTTTTAAACTAATGATCAGTTAGAGAAAATTTTGGTCGAGCTCCTTTAGTTACAATGACTGAATGAATAATTCAACATAATATCAGCAATTTGGAGTCTTTTTTCTCTCAAATATTTTCATGAACGCCTCTGTTATTTGACTATGGAAGCAGTTCCATAGTCATGCAGTTCAGGTCAGAGAAGTGAAACAAACGGCCTGTAAGCTATAATATTTATTGAAAGTGAGATGTGCTGTAATTCTCAGTTGGGTTTTATTTAGAAATCTTTATTCGACTGAATTTGTAGATTTTTTTTTTTTTAAAGCAAAGGAAAATGGCTCTGTAACTTTTAGCTGTTAGTGAGAAATCCCTGTTTCATTTTTCTGTTTTTAGAAAATAATGTAAAGAGAGTTACATTTGTATATTCTTGTTCTAGTTCTAAAATTTATCATTATGTCACGACTTTATGTAATTGATACTTTAGTTCTGATCTAGTTTCGTAGACTTAAATGGTTTTGTTATATCTGCCACCAACTTCAACTAATTATATGAAAATTGAAAAAAAAAAAGTGTATTTAAATAGAGAATTACTCATAAATCATGTAACACCCTGACCCTTAAGGACTGAATTTGGCCCACCGCTTTTTCTGAAGACTTTATAAAAGGTCACTTAAGGTTGACTTTATCAAACTGCGTTCATTATTCAGCATATAAAAACTCAATAGATTTTAACCTTAGTGATGAATATAAAGCTGTGCATCGAGCATCTCTTGAAAAGAGCAGTTTGTAAAAGCTTTGTGGGTGTCTAAAAGCATCAGACAGAGGGACGATTCCAACTAATCTCAATAAACGGAATAAATAAGCATAGAAATGTGCAGGAATGTGGTCACGCATCGTCGGCCTATCGCAGCAGCTCCATGCGACTCCTGCAGATTTCCTGTCACGTCCCTCAGAAGCCTCTTCTGCTCTGAAAAACACGCTTCCTTCCTTCCTTGGTATCAATTTTTAATTGATATATTTCTTTTATATTCCTGTCTTGTCACGTCTCAGGGCGAGAGGTGTTTCTTGACGGTGCAAAATTTCCTTTATCCTACCAAACCCCCCCCCACCCGCAATTCTCCTCAAAATGTAAATTCGGTCTCTGGAGGCTGCCGTGGTTATTAAGGAAGCAGACGTTAAGTGGCCCGGACAGCTGGATAAAAATAAAACTTACTTCTTGAGAAATAATTCAGTGCCGTACTCACTCCGTCTTTCTTGTCTCTTTCAAGTGCTCCGTTGAGGAAATCCATGGCAACGACTTCGTTCTCATCGAGCCACTGAATGACGAAGGGTTCGAACCACCTGCAAGGCGAGAAGGACATGTAGCTGGATGCTGTTGTGATTTCTCAGGATGAGAGGAATAACGGCACATCGTCACGTCAGCCTCACGATGTTGATCGTTTTCCCAATAAAAGTAGATTCATGTTTGGTTTTTATAGGAGGTTCACGGATCCTGCAGGGATTTGTACAGAGTTTGGTGGTAACTAGTTAGAATTACTTGGTTACATTTACTCAAGCAATTTTCTTGGGGAAAAGTACTTGTCAAGGGTATTTTCACTATGCTGTACTTTTGAGTAATTTTATTATGAAGTGTCACTATTCTTATTTGAGTTTAAAAAAAAAATTCTGGGTGCTCAATCCACAATGAATAACTTCACTGATGGAAGAAGACTTTTGTTTTAAACAAACAAAACTTTAATAAAGCTGCAGTTTTTGTTAAAGTTTTGATAAAATATTTGGAAACATGTTTCTTTTGCCTGATTTTCACAATTGCTGTGATCATATTATTGTTAGTTTGATCTTTAAAATGCCTACATTTCCACATAACTTTATATTTTGGTCCATCTGATTATGTAATTTTTACATATGATTGATGTTTTGATCAGTTACTCAGTACTTTCTGCCTTTTTACCACAAACTACTTTACTCTTTCTTGAGTAACTTCTCATATGGCTTCTCTTTTTTTTTCTTTACTTTTACTTTAAATATGTTGAAGTAGTGCTATTCTTACTTGACTACAATCTTTGGGTACTCTGCCCACCTCTGGATTTGCATGAGGTATCAGACTGTGGAGAGATCAGGCATCCGGGTTCAGACAGGAATAAAAGACGGAGCAGGACAGACGACAGCCATGTTAGCAGGGCTGTAATTGTGCAGTAACGTCTTTAACTTGAATTTGCTCCCTCAAGATAAATCTACTCCCAGTCTGTGGACAGCTGCCACTTAAGGCAAAGCTAATGAACAAATAAAACAGGTGTGTTGACAGAGAAAGGTGAGAGAGGAGGAGAAGCATGTGGTATGGAGTTGTGTGTGTGTGTGTGTGTGTGTGTGTGTGTGTGTGTGTGTCTGGTCTGCAGGCTGAGCCTCCGGTAGAATCAACCCGGTGTTTGAGTGACTGCGTCGGAGACGAGGCGGGCGAATCATTAATCTGATGGAGTGGTTGGACGGGAGGGAGCATGGCGTTCCCTCGCTGCGCTACACGTGTTTACACCACGGCCATCCTTGCTCTGCCGCACAAGGTTACGCACGCGAAACGATAAACACATTTCTCAGCCGCAAAAGGCGTCCCGTAATCAGAAACCGGCGTTTGAGGCGTTGTTGCAACGAATCAGATCACACGAACACGACGAATGATTAAAGGATTGATCTGAACTCGGAGTCTGATTTGAGTTTCTATCTCATTTGCGCTGCTGAATAATTCTGGCGATCAGCTGAAATAAATTTAGAACAGTTTTGAAATCTTCTCGAGCCGCATAAAAGTACCACACTGAGCTTCATTACAGTTCTTTTGATAGCTTGTGGTAAGATTCAAAATTATGTTCAATTTGCTCAAGTTCTGTTTTTATTGGACTTTTCAATGCTTATCCTTTAGGCCATGTTTAAAACGCTTTGCTTTAGTTCAACATCAAATCATCATTATTATCATAATAATCCTGTTGAGCAGCAGAAAGGTAACTGTTTTTATAATAAACTCTTTAGATTTTTTTCTGTACCATTTTATGTATGTTTTCTCCCAAAGACAGACCTCTGCTTCTGTCTTTGATGGTTGCTATAGGAACAAGAGGTTAATACAGAATGATAACGATGGCACTCTTAGTGAGCTGGTGCTTTGCTTCCAGTGAGTCGCCCAACTCTGCAACTCAAACAAGATTTTATTCCACAAACCGTTTAATAAAACAACATGGAGGTTATTCATGTGGCTATATTTACATAACGTGTTGAGAAAGTGTCTTGGTCATTGCCATTTTACGCTCCAAATAGGCCTGTCACGATAACAAATTTTGCTGAGCGATTAACTGTCTAAAAAATTATTGCGGTAAACGATAATATTGTTTCAAGACCTTTTGACACTGATTTAATGGAAATGACTAGTAATGCATGTGATTTCCTGCCATAGATACATTTTATTTTCAAAAGAACACATAACACTGGAACTGATAAACTAAATAAACAAAACAACCTAAAAGAAAAAGAAAATTGATTCTCAGTCTCCATTAACAAAAAACGTACTTGAATAAAAACTAAACAACATAAAGCCAAAGTGGAAATAAATATGGCATTCAACCAAAAGAGTGCAGATTATGAAGTCTGTATTGGCCTTCAGTAATCACTAGATTTAAATAGAGAAGACGGGCACATCCTGACGCAATAGTTCACACTACAC